TATATGTTTTATTTGTTATAATTGATATTAAAGAATAATATCATGTATTATTGTTATATATTTTTTTTATTATTATAATCATTATATTATTTTATTATAAATCATATGTTTTTAATTATTTATACTTTATTGTTTTTTATTCTATTTATTACATGATGATATAATAGTATAAAATAATATGATGATTATTAATTTATCTATCATCACATCTACATATCATTTTTATAGATTATATTTTATTTAATACATATTCAGGTGGAGGAGGCGCATTCTCCATCTTCCTTTACGAAATAAGCCACCCAACAAGGAAAATTTGGAGAAAGTATTTGACGTTTTAATTGCCTTCGCCTTCTCTCGCACGCTCTCGAACGAAGAGAGAGGAGAGGAGGGGGAGGAGAGAGGAGAGAGTAAGTAAGAAGTAGTGAAAGAGGAGATAGAGAGAGGAGTGGGGAGGAAGGGAAGAAGAGAAGAAGGAAAAAGTGAAGAAGAAGAGAAGGGAGGGTAGAAGGAGAGAGGGAGCAATAACTTAAAGAGATAAAGAAGTGAGACAGGAGGATATAAGAGAGGGATAAGAAGGAGGAGAGGAAAAGAAAGAGAGAAAGAAGGTATTGTAGAAAAAGAGAAAAGAAGAGAAAAAGATAAACTAGAAGGACTACACAAATATACAGGCATACCAGTCTCTGCGCCGAGATTTTTTACCTTGAACTTATTCGCCCTTTGTTGGTTTTTAAGTCTTCTCATTATTATATATTATATTAATTATTATATTATTATTATTATTATTATATTAATTTATATATTATTATTTATATTATTATTATATTATTATTTTATTATTATCTATTATTATATATAATGATATTATCAATTTGTCATTATGTATTATTTCTTTTATTTTATTATGTTATCTCATTTATATTCTAATTATATATCATATTTTCAGACTTGGATATATTTTTATAGGGAAGAAGATGTGAAGTTTAAGAAATTAAGACCAGGCTTATACACCACTTCTTCTGATTTTTTCTAATATTTTTTTTCTTCTATGCTAACTCACCACCCGACTACCCCGACCTTCGCTTGCCACATTGCACCCCCTCATCAAGCTAAACGCCCCTAACACGCCGCTTCAATTGGCACGGCGCATCCTCTGCATCACATGCCGGTTGTCACAATACATCTCGTAGAATTTAATTGAAATATGTGTGATATCGACTGTGAGCCCTCCATTAATACCAACTTTGTTGCTTATTTTTTTTTTTGTTTTTCTTTAACGTGTATGCTTGGTATTTGGATAAAAGTTATGAAACATCTTTATATTATCACTTAACATTACATGAACCACGTATGCATAAAACATCACTGACAACACGCTACATCAACACGCGACCCGCTGTAAACATCAGTTCAAACAAGCGCCCGCACCTCCACACTCTCACACGTTCACAGGCTCACGAACGCCACCGCACACACTCTTCGCATCGCAGATATATTGAATATTGAATATCATATTAACTCCCATCATCATTCTCTGACATCGTACCACCTTTCCAATGAAATAATATTTAAAAAGGATTTCATTAGAAATAATTTTCTAAATTTCTCTTGATCCTTTTCATAAATCGATCCCGACGTCGTTCCCGTTAGTTTCGTCCTCATAACTTAAAAAATAATTTGAAGAATCAGAGAAAAGAAAATGGAAAATGCATCCATTATTCTATTCGTTAATATATTTTTCATTCTGTATCTACGTGATACTATGTACATAGATACCAGTAAAAAAAGACATAAACAAACAACAACGAATACACTACAATTCATACAGACAGATAACCAAACAAAGTAAAAGAAATATATAAAATAAACAGACACAAAACAAAACAGACATATAAAATGCAGCAATACAAATTTTCTAAACAAAAGAATAAAGAACGAAAAAAACAAAAGAGACAAGTAACACCTCAGACAGACCGCACTAAAGATAATACAAAACGAACTGAGATGAAGCCAAAAAAAATAAAGCCACCGCACCGGAAAACCATAGAGATATAAACCATTACAAACAACAGACCCGATACATCCGCCGAAGAGAGTATGAGACACTTAGCACAGAGAGACGGACAGACAGACCAGACATGAGAACGAGAAGAGCGTATGAGACCGACGTCAGAATAAATCCAGTAGTTCCTCCGCGCAGCAGTGACCTTCTCATTCGGAGCAGAGTTAGGTCCTCCACCTTACTCTCATAACACCATGTCGGGATATTCCACTCTCATGTCTTCCATCCTCCTCCTCTCTTCTTCTCTTTCTCCACGCTCTTTCCTTTCCTCTCTCACTCTCATTACCTTCTCGGCTGTTGCTCCTACGGGGGGGCCAGTTCGCTCCTCAGCGGGTCCTTTTTCCTGCATTCTTCTCGTCTCCTTCCCCTCCTCTCTCTCCTCCCTCCTCCCTCTCCCTCTCTCCCGCCCGTCCCTCTCTCCCTCGCTCTCCCGCCTCCCCCCCCTCACCCCCCTCCCCCCCCCCCCCCCCATCCTCCCCCCACTTCCCCCGCTATCACACTACCACAAAATCCAAAACAACATCGTCCATTCAATAAAAAAAGAAGAGAGTCACCAGAACAACCGAGGGACGCCACACAAGCCCCAGACTGCACCGGAACGGCCAGCGTAATACTAAATTCCGCGTCCGCGGTCGGTCATGATGCCTTGGGGTCGACATAGTTGAGTCGCACCGTACAACAAAACATGCGTAAACACAAAATAACACAGATGGTCGATTAGATTGAAGTTAGTAACGTGAACAAAAACACGTCCGTCAGCGCCGTAATAAATGTCACGGCAATCATGTTGAAAGTCAATTAGTGTGACAGACCGAAAGAAAAGAAAAGACAAGAGAAAAACTAAAAACAGAAACAACTAAAAAAAAAACTAAAAACGAAACACATCAAAAAAGAGATAAACAAAACATGACAACTGTTTTAATCAAAGACGGTATGAAAGAACGGCCAACAAGGGAAAAGAAAAATGAGGAGGAACAAGGGAACTGGGCAAGCAATACCACCAACACAATTAAAAAAAATCTACACTGAACCTAGCTCAAACGAATGATAACGGTATGGGCAAGGCAAGGGAGGCGAGATGAGACGAGAATGGAGGGGGATCGAGAAAGTAGAGAGGGAGGAAGGGAACAGGAGAGAGAAAGAGAGAGAGAAGAGAGGAGACACGAGAAAAGTAGGTGAAGAGAGAAGATACACCGAGGAAATAAAGCCTAAAAATCTCGGCGACAGCGAGGAGAGAGAGATGGAGAGAGAGACGAAATGAAACAGAGAGAGAGAAAAGAAATCCGAGATGTCACTGTACCAGTACAGCATACCGCATGGCCAGTGCTTGGAACGAGAGACGACGGGAAGGACAACGAGAAGAGAGAGGAGAGAGAGAAGAGAGAAGAGAAAAGAGAGACAGACAGACAGACAGACAGAGACAGAGAGACAGGCTTCTCTCTCATCGGTCGATTGGTCGTTGCTTGGCAGTCCGGAAACCCCCGGTGATGATGACCAAATATGGGTCTATCACGTGATTCTGCTTTTAGAGAAGGAAAATAAAGCTTAACAAAAGAAAGAAATCGGATTGAGTGGTTAAGCAAACGTATTCATATACATTTGTGTTGATCTTATTTATATATGTTTGTTTGTTTGAGAGAGAGAGAGAGAGAGAGAGAGAGAGAGAGAGAGAGAGAGAGAGAGGAGAGAGAGAGAGAGAAGGGGAGATAAGAAAGTGAGAGAAGGAGAGAGAGAGACAGAGAGAGAGAGAGAGAGAGAAGAGAGAGAGAGAGAGAGAGAGCGAAGGGGAGATAAAGAAAGTGAGAGAAGGGACGAGAAGGAGAGACAGAGAGAGAGAGAGAGAGAGAGGGGGGGGAGAGAGAGAGAGAGACAGAGAGATGAAGAAACAGAGACAGACAGACAGAGAGTGTACATACTTTCATAAACAATCCCACACGTCATCACTCTCACCCATTAGCTTTCTCTCTTTACCCATTTATTGCCAATTAACCAAAACAATAAAAGATCTTTTTATTAACTAACTTTCCACCCTTCCCTGATATCTGTATTAAAAAGTATCACATAAAAGACTATTTAAGAAAGATTACTAGATGTTATTCTTGTTATTATCATTGACTGTATCACTACTGCTATAATCATTATCATTATTACCATTATCATTATTACCATTATTATCATTATTATTATTATTATGTTTATTATTATTATTATTATTATTATTATTATTATTATTATTATTATTATTATTATTATTATTATTATTATCATTATTATTATTATTATTATTATTATTATTATTATTATTATTATTTCATTATCATTATTATTATTATTATTATTATTATTATTATTATTATTATTATTTATTATTATTATTATTATTATTTATTATTATTATTATTATTTATCCTTATTATTACTATTATTATTATCATTGTTACTATTATCGTTATTATTATCATTATTATTTTATTTATTATTATATTATTATTATTATATATTATTATGTTGTTGTTGTTGTTGTTATTATTATATTATTATTATTATATATTATTATTATTATTATTATTATTATTATTATTATTATTATTATTATTATTATTATTATTATTATTATTATTATTATTATTATTATCAGAATTTCCATTTTTATCATCATCATCATCATCATCATCATCATCATCATCATCATCATCATCATCATCATGGCTTCGTATCTCGTCCTTCGCTTCGCTTTCTCGACAACAGAGCATCTATAAGCGCAAACCTCTACCATTAACTTTAATATACCATTATCTCCTCACTTAAAGGTGATGCCCAGAAACGGAGAACAAATGCTTACCTCTTTGCCAAAATTTACTCTTTGGATTCATGTAATTATTGTCATTAACAGATGGATTTAATGTAATAAGTAGTTTGGTATGCTCTCCATAACTGCCAG